TATTACACAAAATACAGCGTGCTTGTATTTGACATATTCCCATGGCCATTTTGCCATTCAAAACAGAAAAGTTGCAGTAATAGACCATATGTGTATTCATGGCATTAGACTAGAACTAGCTTGCAACTGAGGTTAATGCAGGGAGTGTTTTCAAATCCAAATCACATTTATCTCTTTTTGATGATATTCCCTTGCGTAAGCCTCCATTGCAAGGTAGTTCCAGTCTAATACCGAGAATACAAATATGGCCTATAATTTGTTGTTAACTAATGTTTTTTAATTAGCTGCATACATGTCCCTGTGTTAAGAGAAAGTTAATTACTTTTGTGCTCTTTAGGTTGTTCAGAAACTGTGTGCATTTCAAAGACTATGGAAGGAAGGAAACACAAAGCAGATCCAACAAGAAATTAGTTCAGCTCCAAGACAAAAACTTACACCGTGTGTCAAAAGCAAAGCAGTGACAAGTGACAGTGATAGTGATGATGATGATGACAATAATGAGGCAGGTGCACGAGCTCTATGTAATGGACATCACGAGGTAATAGAAAGCATTGTTCCTTTTTAGGTCTCTGTGGGACAGTGGTTCATTACATTGTGCACGCACCAAGATTGCTGCTCTCAAGTGCAGGGGTTTCATTAATGTTTTCAGCAGGAGGACAACTAGTTTTCACAGGCAGACAAAACTATTAATTTTGTACCCTGGTCCCAGAGGTTTTTCTTGATTATTCTTCCTTTTGCGAAGCGGCGACCACGAGTCACGAAGTGGCAAGAAAGAAAAACCTCTGGTTACCTTGGACTTGAATCTCACTTTCATGCAGACGCCAGCTGTCAAATGCGTCAAATTGATAATTAGTTATCAGCCGCTAATGGTTTCCACACGGATGGTGGAGAGTGGTATCACTTGACCTACTTGGCCGGGGTCAACGTGCGTGTTTGCAAGAATTAATGTTTTTATCTGCAACGATCGCGAAGGCTCTGTCTTGTTAAACATTACTACGGAGCATGTTTCTCCACATACTCATTTTGTAAGAAGGACTCGGGACTTCCAAATAGCAAGGCATAAACTTCTTGTCTCCGCTGCTCAAACTGGCCACTGAAATGGCACGGTTTTGCAGTTCACGGATACAAGAGTCCACGAAAGACTTAGAGGATACACAACCAGAATTGTGGCATGATGAGGGTATGAATAACCTGAGAGGTACAGGTATTTGCAGACATCAGGGAGCAACTGAAATATAATTGATTTTCCATGTCTGGTTGGCAGTATGGTAAACAACACATCTTTGCAATTTATGACTGTGAGCAAGGCTTTCTTTTGATGTTTGGTGAGACTTTCAATCTCTGGAAAATGCTCCTCGAGTACTGAAGTCAAAATTCTTCAAAGACACTGTCAGAAACATAATCCATGTCAAGCACAGGCGAATCTTGAACGTATGTAAACTGAGAACTGAAGTATTTTGCAAACAAATTCCTTCCCTGGTACAGAAGCAAAATTTACCTCAAGAAGTGCAGTGACAGATATCCCCACCGTCCCCTCGGTGTTACCAATCAAACGAACCAGTCATATTGATTTGCGTGTTTGTAGAAATATCAACCAATCCGAGCCCTAGGGTCAGATCCTGACCCTGGCGTCTGCATGAAAGTGAGATTCAAGTCCAAAGTAACCAGAGATTTTTCTTTCTTGCCGCTTCGCAACTCGTGTTTTCACCGCTTCACAGCTCTCTTGTAGCTCTCTCGTAGAAAAATCAAGAAAAACCTCTGGGACCAGGGTAGACTAATTGTCAAGAACTGAACTTCTTTATTAGAAAAACTTTCCCCTAGATGGTCAAACCAGCTGAGCAAATTCGCCCTCACAGCTGGTCACATTGTGCGGTGCGTGGCCCTTAATGAAACCCCTGTAAATGTCTGAATGCTCTGAAATCCTCTTCTTTCAAGCGTAAAAATAAAGCAGTTACTGAGGAGATACATGTAAGCTTTGTATACTTCCTATGGGCAGAGTATTGACTAGGTTTCGTCCACTCAGTGTATACATGTAGTCCAGTAATTTGGTTTGCCGAAGTGCTACTCTTCAAATAACGTTCTCGCGCAAAAGGTTTTTTACATTTGACCACTTTGAATTTTATCATGGTGCATAAGCCTCCAGAGGACACTGTTGGTACATGGAGTTGGCTTGGTCTTGTTAAATGTCACAAATACCGGTAGTTAATTTTTTTTTTTTTTTTAACTAAAGCTTATTATTCCTTCACTCATATCTTCTATATTAATATATTATTTGGCCTGGAACTTCAATAACCCCCAATTCTTACCTCTCACTATTACTAACATAAACACAAAAAATGGGAAGATGACAAGGACACAGGTATGGTGTAGATTAACACTTCTTTATTCATGTTTTAGGACGACAGGACAAACAATTCTTCAGTAAGTCAACAACTCGACGATCTTCACATCTCCGACAAAAACACTCAACCTGAGCCAGACTGCTCACAGACAGAAACAAGAGGAAATGGTGAGTACTGCAAAAACAAAGCATCCTTTGTTCCTGTCAATCCTCAGTGGCTCATCAATCACAGCACATAGGCTAACTGTGCTTTTCTGTCCCTGAGATACGGGTGGCAAGACGAAAAATAATGCGGTCTAACGTTGAACCTAACGGGACTAGGTCACGCTCTTTTTGAGGATTGTGTTACATACAGCCCTGCTTTGCAGTGAAAGTAGCGTTGCGACGCCCCAAATAATGACTGCAAACGAGACTTGTTGCTAACTATTACAAAGATGGAATGAAGCGTCTTATCATTGAATAAAAGTCATTGTGTAGTTTGGCTTTTTTTGTGGACGTCTATTTTATTTATTCATGGCTGACTAGTCGGACTAAACACATCTTTCATACAGTAATTATTTATTTATTTATTTATTTATTTATTTATTTATTTATTTATTTATTTATTTATTTATTTACTTTTAATGCAACTTAGCCTTTTATGGAAATTTAAAATCGATCATTCAAAGTTATTAGGAATAGCAAGTGCCTTGGTTTGCCTGTCCCTAGCTACGGCCCTGCTGTTTCCTGATTTATTAGTTTCATAACAACATGAGGAAAATCTAACAAAATCAGTGGCAAAACGCCGTTTGTCGTAAAACATAACTATTATTTTTTTGGTATTGCGTGTAGCTTGGTTTAAATTAATCAAATAGAAATCGTCTTTGTTCCAGTTTGTATGAAAACATTTTATGATTTGAAAAAATCAGTTTCAACCAAGTCAAATCACCAAATCACTAAGTTAGCAGCTAAGAAAACAGAAAGACAAAACAAAACAAAACAAAAACCTTAAAGTTACCTCTGTTAAGAACAGTGGCCAGGGAATGGATGTCGTCTAGGTCACCATGCTTCTCAGTTTGATTGAAAAAAAAAGTGTGAGCTCTCACCGATTTTTGTTTTTCTCTATGGCTAACGGAGTGGGAAAGATGTGCTGTTTTTGGCATGAAATTCTACTTTTGTACTCAGCGCTGTTTTTAACACTGATGCTAACCGCTTTGACGGTAGTGCAGCAGAGCTTGCAAGAAGTCTGAATTTCTTGTAAAAGTATGGACATCTGCAAACTAGTTTACCACACCTGGAGAAAGACTATGGAAAATAAGAATAGGGTTTTTCCAAACTGCATCAAAGCTCAAACAAGTCGGTTTAATTGACGAAATCTTTCAGCCAAGTAGTCGGATTTCATGTAAATTTCACCTAAGCCAAAATATTCAATTGCAGAATCTCCAGGACTTTATCTACCCTAGCTCCTGACGTTACTGTTGTGTGGCCGCTTGCGTCGCAAATACTGTGCGTTCACATTTATTTAGTACTTCGTGGTTACATTTTAGTTAGGAATGTGCTTGGTTTATGTGGGTATCCGGTCGCTTCGCTCCATGGTTGGATCGCTCCAAGCTTGTCGAAGTCAGTTCGCTCCAATGCGCATAAAGATTATTCCTCGTTCTTTTATCCACTGCCAAGCCAAGCTCGGTTACCTGTGTGGAGCGATCTAACCATGGAGCGAAATGACTGTAAACCTTTTTATGTCTGGGTAAAGAAAATTATGGTTCGGGAAACGTATAGCAAAAGTCTTGAATTCAACATCTAAACGTTTGTTCGAATCCTGTACAATACATGTATGTATTTGTAATTCTCCTTATCTTTGTATTGCTCTTTTGTAGAACGTTCATCCATTCAGTCGCAAACGCAAGATCAAGACGAGGAAGGATGGGAAGTCGTGCGGAGATCGAAAAAACGTTAAATGATTGCCTCGAGCAAATGAACTTACATTTGAATTTTAGAAAAATATAGAGTGTTTTTACGGCGGCCATATTAGTCCCAAACAAGAGAACCTTTTTTTCAAAAGAAAAGAAGTCATTTCCCAAAGGAGGGAAATGTTATTGTTTCGGAACAATAACATGGCCGCCTTGACGTCACGTGAATACTCTCCAAACCTTGCTGTAAAAATAAATGCTGAATAATAACAAACACGGTGAACCTTCTTTGATTTCGCGCCCATTTTCCAGAGCCTAACAGGTCAAAAGTAGCTGTCTCATGGCCAGGATTTTCTACTGCCTCTTTCAAAATATATTGCGCTGGTAGTTGAAATATAAACCAGGTTGGCACTAATAATTCCTATGTGCCACATTCGAGTTATGACTTTTTGTGTCCTCCTCTCGATATGGCTTCAGGCTAGCTTTAAAACGTTAGCGGACAATAACCATTTCATTTCATGTTGCGAATCTTTAACTTTTAAGAAATAGAAAACATTTTTCGTGTTCTATCAAGCTCGAGATTTCTATCACGCATAGAAATCGAGGGCGAATAATCTAATTGTTTAGTATAGATCTACTAGTTGTTCAAAACTACGATGTAAGTCCTCTTCACAGACACTTCGAAAACGCAAAGAAGTGGCCGTCATTTTGTTCACAAGCGCACACTGCTGGGCTGCTCCCTATAATATAGTAAGTAGCGTAGCCAATCAGAGAACGGCATTCGTGATAGAACGCGGGTAGATTTACAATTAAACTCGATGGAAACACTGAAAACAATAGTTTCTAATGAAAACACCACGAGGAAAAGAAAGTAAAATGAAACGTAAATTTCGTTTATCAAAATGTAAATTCTCTTTGCCCTCTTCTCTTTGCATTATCACGTCAACAAATCGTGCTGCACAGCTTTTTAGTGCGTTGTTTCACTGCTCTCTAACAGGGTGTTTCTAAAACAACGCAAAGGCAAGTGACCCAGATGCAGAAAAAGGCTCACGTCCACTACTGTGAACAATCGTGACATCGTAAGAACGCAAAAACCCGCTAAGCATAGCGACAAGGGAAAAACATTGGTTCTTTTTGTAAGTTGAGTCGTTTTGTTCGAGTGTTTGTTTGCTTTTTAAAGTTCACCTACGTAAACTATAATTGAAAGGATTAAGAAAAAACACAAACCTGCTGGCGAGCGTCAAAGCACCTTTATAGTTTGAACAAAAGAAGATGATTGGAAGTCTTTATGTTGACGACCATCAAACATAGCAGCGATGACGTCACATGAAAACCGAAAATTCATGACGTATCAGTAAACGCTTGAAACTAGCTTGTCGTTAAATTGCCTCAAATAATAGATTTCCACAACAGCAAACTGAAGTAAAAACTTTTTTGTAGAAATTATTAAAAACCTAGTAACTTCTTTTTCTCGTGAGTAATGTATGGACTAAATGTACTCTTGTGGTTGTCAGGAAACCTATACTACTTGTTCCTAAATGACTTGTGTAAATAACCGCACAAATCAACTGAACACTTGATCAAAAACACGGAACACAAAGTCAAGTTTCTGACTCTTTACAAAATGTTACCGCTTTCTACTAGTGCATGTATGTTGCTTAGCCGCCAAGCCTTTGTCATTTCGGTCTCTCGGGATTGGTTGCAATTACCATCTAAAGCACTCTCCTTGTCTTAACTCACTCAGGAGGAAAATGATAACAATGAATAGACAAAATTTATTTAAGCTACACACGAAACAGTAATAACCCAGTGGAATGATAAACTATCCCTTCGAAATCTAAAGTAGAGAACTTTTCGCCCTGCTATCTTTAGATGTGACAAACGCAGAGACCATGGGCACGAGGTTGTTGCGGTGCGGCTGTATCATGAATAAATTTAACAAATTGACGTTAGTTTTTCATACGTCTGTCCTGTTATTGATCATGGATTTCATGATAACATTGTCAAAGTAGCTGTGGATCCACGAGTCGATAGCCGAGTGGATCTGCAGACTACTTTGACATTGTTATGACGAAATGCATTGTCAATAACTGGACAGACTCATGAATAACCAACCTCAATTTGTTTTTTTGAGATAAATTGTCAAATTGTCCCCTCTCGCTGGTTGACGCGTGCCATAAATTATAAATTCATGTGTCTGTTCGCTTTTTGACAATGAAAATTGGCCGGTGAGCGCGTGGGAATTTCTGCAGTTATCATAAGAAAGGTCTTCGCAGATTCAAAGCCGTTGTCGTGCACGAGAATGCGTAAGAGAATGGTGCGTGACGTAGTTCTTTGTTCTAATGATTTTATTGACAAGTTTAACCCCGCACGCAATCCAAGAAGAGATCTTATAAATAACCACAAAAAGTGCACGCAGTATAAAAGCGCATTTGAAACAGAATAAGACGAGAAAGGGCGAGAGATAGCTCAAGCTAAATCGCAGAATATCGAAGGTGGGTGACGAATTGTTCTGAATAAGCTCAACTGTTTGATGTCGTAAATGGATTGGGGGCTTATATTAGCAGAGTGAACAAAATTGGGCAAATCAAAGATTAATCAGGTGTTTAATTCACTTTACAGGTGTTAATTAAAGAAAGCTTGCAAACATCACAAAGGATTTACAGTGTTGAAAAAGTTGAAATGGATAAATTCAAAGATGCTTTACAAGGTATGATGGATAAGGCAGAATCAAAGACCGAACTTCCAGCCCAAGACATTTTGGAAGAAGCAGCCGAGATAAGTGGTACAGTGACGTTTGGCCTGATATCTCTGCTAGCGAAAGCTATAAGAACTTTTAAATGTGCTGTCAAAGAAGAAGAAATAAAAATGCAGTTACAAGATCAACTTAGAGACAGATGGGGAGCGAACGCACCGGACCTTGACGTTTATATTTAATGGCTGTGTGTGCCCTCATCCAGATATTAGAAATATCAGCCTGCCGGGCAGGTGGATACTGGCGATTATATATTATATCAATGATCGATAATGAAGATAATTCTAAATAGGACAATCTGAAACGAACAACAGAACAAGATAAATGAAGGATATGTATATTATCAGGGACATTTGAACATTTTGCAAGCAATTTAATCTTTGCCTACTTTCATTGCGTGTTAGCCTATTCAATCATCTTCGCTTGATTAGTGATGGGCGTTTGTCACTGACAGAATGACAAGGCCAGCAGCTTAACAGCTAATACCACTGACAAAAAGATGTTGTTAGAACCTCTTGTAATATTGTTGTACATCCGTAATGTAAGTTCCGTAACGACATTAGAATTTTGAACCCTTCGCTTCCTTAAAGATGGAAATCACGATGTCGACATTTAGGTCAGGCTGTAGCAACCTCGTTCCCAAGCTCTCTCTCCTCTGCCTCCCTTGGTCGTTGAGGCTGTAGATCGCATTGAAATCGTTTCTCGTCCACACAAGCTCGGGACGCTCGTTACAAAAATCCGCTGTCGAGGCGAGTACAGGCGCAAAGTCGAACTGATTCTGCGCCTGTATGCAAATCGCTCAGCGGATTCTTTACACCCAAAAAACTCCCTTTGAACTTCTGCGAAGAAAAGAGACTGGAACTTACTTTCGTAATTGCTAATATAGACAACGTTTGCTGGAGTATCAGATTAAAATTTTAAGAACAAGGTTGGATTTTCAGATGTTGTTTGAATACCTGATAACTGGAAATAAATCTGAATTATTGGATCACTGAAGTATTGGAAACCACTTACTCAAGCTATGCGAAATTCGTATGACTGAAATTTGAGATTCTGGTTGGGCTGGAAATCTTAGCTATCAGTTGAACTTTTGGCGATTTCTCAGTTATCAGATAAAAGAAAATCAATTTCACTGGCCGATCTTTACGCTCTCTGACCATCTATTAAACGAAGAACAATTTAAACACGCCGTGTTACAACGAAAACCCAGGGTAGGGATTCCATCCAAACCGTTTGAATGCTCTAGGTTTCAATGATATCAATATTAATTTCTTTTTGGTCACAGGTTAAAAAGCTAACATAAAATGCTTTCATATTGGTAAGAGTCAAATCCAAATCTTGAAAGGACGGTCCACTCGAGGAAGAGAGAGGACCCTTAGAACGAAGTTGACCCACCTTGTCCCAATAGCGTTTTAACAGGCAGCCATGTTGGTGTCCCAAATCAATGAAACGGCGGCCATGTTGGTGTACCAAACCAATCCTGTTTCTCATTTAAAGACTTTTATTCGAAATTACTTGCTTGGTTGCTGGCTGGACACAAAGTGGAAACGCTCAATAAGTTGCAAGAAGTCGGATAATAAAACAGGATGGCCAAACGTGTGCAACAGGTTTGCACAACAATCCGGTTGCAAGAAGTTGTGTTCAGTTGTAGCGTGTATCCTCCTTCCTTCCTCTGCCTNTTATTTATTTATTTATTTATTTATTTATTTATTTATTTATTTATTTACTTTTAATGCAACTTAGCCTTTTATGGAAATTTAAAATCGATCATTCAAAGTTATTAGGAATAGCAAGTGCCTTGGTTTGCCTGTCCCTAGCTACGGCCCTGCTGTTTCCTGATTTATTAGTTTCATAACAACATGAGGAAAATCTAACAAAATCAGTGGCAAAACGCCGTTTGTCGTAAAACATAACTATTATTTTTTTGGTATTGCGTGTAGCTTGGTTTAAATTAATCAAATAGAAATCGTCTTTGTTCCAGTTTGTATGAAAACATTTTATGATTTGAAAAAATCAGTTTCAACCAAGTCAAATCACCAAATCACTAAGTTAGCAGCTAAGAAAACAGAAAGACAAAACAAAACAAAACAAAAACCTTAAAGTTACCTCTGTTAAGAACAGTGGCCAGGGAATGGATGTCGTCTAGGTCACCATGCTTCTCAGTTTGATTGAAAAAAAAAGTGTGAGCTCTCACCGATTTTTGTTTTTCTCTATGGCTAACGGAGTGGGAAAGATGTGCTGTTTTTGGCATGAAATTCTACTTTTGTACTCAGCGCTGTTTTTAACACTGATGCTAACCGCTTTGACGGTAGTGCAGCAGAGCTTGCAAGAAGTCTGAATTTCTTGTAAAAGTATGGACATCTGCAAACTAGTTTACCACACCTGGAGAAAGACTATGGAAAATAAGAATAGGGTTTTTCCAAACTGCATCAAAGCTCAAACAAGTCGGTTTAATTGACGAAATCTTTCAGCCAAGTAGTCGGATTTCATGTAAATTTCACCTAAGCCAAAATATTCAATTGCAGAATCTCCAGGACTTTATCTACCCTAGCTCCTGACGTTACTGTTGTGTGGCCGCTTGCGTCGCAAATACTGTGCGTTCACATTTATTTAGTACTTCGTGGTTACATTTTAGTTAGGAATGTGCTTGGTTTATGTGGGTATCCGGTCGCTTCGCTCCATGGTTGGATCGCTCCAAGCTTGTCGAAGTCAGTTCGCTCCAATGCGCATAAAGATTATTCCTCGTTCTTTTATCCACTGCCAAGCCAAGCTCGGTTACCTGTGTGGAGCGATCTAACCATGGAGCGAAATGACTGTAAACCTTTTTATGTCTGGGTAAAGAAAATTATGGTTCGGGAAACGTATAGCAAAAGTCTTGAATTCAACATCTAAACGTTTGTTCGAATCCTGTACAATACATGTATGTATTTGTAATTCTCCTTATCTTTGTATTGCTCTTTTGTAGAACGTTCATCCATTCAGTCGCAAACGCAAGATCAAGACGAGGAAGGATGGGAAGTCGTGCGGAGATCGAAAAAACGTTAAATGATTGCCTCGAGCAAATGAACTTACATTTGAATTTTAGAAAAATATAGAGTGTTTTTACGGCGGCCATATTAGTCCCAAACAAGAGAACCTTTTTTTCAAAAGAAAAGAAGTCATTTCCCAAAGGAGGGAAATGTTATTGTTTCGGAACAATAACATGGCCGCCTTGACGTCACGTGAATACTCTCCAAACCTTGCTGTAAAAATAAATGCTGAATAATAACAAACACGGTGAACCTTCTTTGATTTCGCGCCCATTTTCCAGAGCCTAACAGGTCAAAAGTAGCTGTCTCATGGCCAGGATTTTCTACTGCCTCTTTCAAAATATATTGCGCTGGTAGTTGAAATATAAACCAGGTTGGCACTAATAATTCCTATGTGCCACATTCGAGTTATGACTTTTTGTGTCCTCCTCTCGATATGGCTTCAGGCTAGCTTTAAAACGTTAGCGGACAATAACCATTTCATTTCATGTTGCGAATCTTTAACTTTTAAGAAATAGAAAACATTTTTCGTGTTCTATCAAGCTCGAGATTTCTATCACGCATAGAAATCGAGGGCGAATAATCTAATTGTTTAGTATAGATCTACTAGTTGTTCAAAACTACGATGTAAGTCCTCTTCACAGACACTTCGAAAACGCAAAGAAGTGGCCGTCATTTTGTTCACAAGCGCACACTGCTGGGCTGCTCCCTATAATATAGTAAGTAGCGTAGCCAATCAGAGAACGGCATTCGTGATAGAACGCGGGTAGATTTACAATTAAACTCGATGGAAACACTGAAAACAATAGTTTCTAATGAAAACACCACGAGGAAAAGAAAGTAAAATGAAACGTAAATTTCGTTTATCAAAATGTAAATTCTCTTTGCCCTCTTCTCTTTGCATTATCACGTCAACAAATCGTGCTGCACAGCTTTTTAGTGCGTTGTTTCACTGCTCTCTAACAGGGTGTTTCTAAAACAACGCAAAGGCAAGTGACCCAGATGCAGAAAAAGGCTCACGTCCACTACTGTGAACAATCGTGACATCGTAAGAACGCAAAAACCCGCTAAGCATAGCGACAAGGGAAAAACATTGGTTCTTTTTGTAAGTTGAGTCGTTTTGTTCGAGTGTTTGTTTGCTTTTTAAAGTTCACCTACGTAAACTATAATTGAAAGGATTAAGAAAAAACACAAACCTGCTGGCGAGCGTCAAAGCACCTTTATAGTTTGAACAAAAGAAGATGATTGGAAGTCTTTATGTTGACGACCATCAAACATAGCAGCGATGACGTCACATGAAAACCGAAAATTCATGACGTATCAGTAAACGCTTGAAACTAGCTTGTCGTTAAATTGCCTCAAATAATAGATTTCCACAACAGCAAACTGAAGTAAAAACTTTTTTGTAGAAATTATTAAAAACCTAGTAACTTCTTTTTCTCGTGAGTAATGTATGGACTAAATGTACTCTTGTGGTTGTCAGGAAACCTATACTACTTGTTCCTAAATGACTTGTGTAAATAACCGCACAAATCAACTGAACACTTGATCAAAAACACGGAACACAAAGTCAAGTTTCTGACTCTTTACAAAATGTTACCGCTTTCTACTAGTGCATGTATGTTGCTTAGCCGCCAAGCCTTTGTCATTTCGGTCTCTCGGGATTGGTTGCAATTACCATCTAAAGCACTCTCCTTGTCTTAACTCACTCAGGAGGAAAATGATAACAATGAATAGACAAAATTTATTTAAGCTACACACGAAACAGTAATAACCCAGTGGAATGATAAACTATCCCTTCGAAATCTAAAGTAGAGAACTTTTCGCCCTGCTATCTTTAGATGTGACAAACGCAGAGACCATGGGCACGAGGTTGTTGCGGTGCGGCTGTATCATGAATAAATTTAACAAATTGACGTTAGTTTTTCATACGTCTGTCCTGTTATTGATCATGGATTTCATGATAACATTGTCAAAGTAGCTGTGGATCCACGAGTCGATAGCCGAGTGGATCTGCAGACTACTTTGACATTGTTATGACGAAATGCATTGTCAATAACTGGACAGACTCATGAATAACCAACCTCAATTTGTTTTTTTGAGATAAATTGTCAAATTGTCCCCTCTCGCTGGTTGACGCGTGCCATAAATTATAAATTCATGTGTCTGTTCGCTTTTTGACAATGAAAATTGGCCGGTGAGCGCGTGGGAATTTCTGCAGTTATCATAAGAAAGGTCTTCGCAGATTCAAAGCCGTTGTCGTGCACGAGAATGCGTAAGAGAATGGTGCGTGACGTAGTTCTTTGTTCTAATGATTTTATTGACAAGTTTAACCCCGCACGCAATCCAAGAAGAGATCTTATAAATAACCACAAAAAGTGCACGCAGTATAAAAGCGCATTTGAAACAGAATAAGACGAGAAAGGGCGAGAGATAGCTCAAGCTAAATCGCAGAATATCGAAGGTGGGTGACGAATTGTTCTGAATAAGCTCAACTGTTTGATGTCGTAAATGGATTGGGGGCTTATATTAGCAGAGTGAACAAAATTGGGCAAATCAAAGATTAATCAGGTGTTTAATTCACTTTACAGGTGTTAATTAAAGAAAGCTTGCAAACATCACAAAGGATTTACAGTGTTGAAAAAGTTGAAATGGATAAATTCAAAGATGCTTTACAAGGTATGATGGATAAGGCAGAATCAAAGACCGAACTTCCAGCCCAAGACATTTTGGAAGAAGCAGCCGAGATAAGTGGTACAGTGACGTTTGGCCTGATATCTCTGCTAGCGAAAGCTATAAGAACTTTTAAATGTGCTGTCAAAGAAGAAGAAATAAAAATGCAGTTACAAGATCAACTTAGAGACAGATGGGGAGCGAACGCACCGGACCTTGACGTTTATATTTAATGGCTGTGTGTGCCCTCATCCAGATATTAGAAATATCAGCCTGCCGGGCAGGTGGATACTGGCGATTATATATTATATCAATGATCGATAATGAAGATAATTCTAAATAGGACAATCTGAAACGAACAACAGAACAAGATAAATGAAGGATATGTATATTATCAGGGACATTTGAACATTTTGCAAGCAATTTAATCTTTGCCTACTTTCATTGCGTGTTAGCCTATTCAATCATCTTCGCTTGATTAGTGATGGGCGTTTGTCACTGACAGAATGACAAGGCCAGCAGCTTAACAGCTAATACCACTGACAAAAAGATGTTGTTAGAACCTCTTGTAATATTGTTGTACATCCGTAATGTAAGTTCCGTAACGACATTAGAATTTTGAACCCTTCGCTTCCTTAAAGATGGAAATCACGATGTCGACATTTAGGTCAGGCTGTAGCAACCTCGTTCCCAAGCTCTCTCTCCTCTGCCTCCCTTGGTCGTTGAGGCTGTAGATCGCATTGAAATCGTTTCTCGTCCACACAAGCTCGGGACGCTCGTTACAAAAATCCGCTGTCGAGGCGAGTACAGGCGCAAAGTCGAACTGATTCTGCGCCTGTATGCAAATCGCTCAGCGGATTCTTTACACCCAAAAAACTCCCTTTGAACTTCTGCGAAGAAAAGAGACTGGAACTTACTTTCGTAATTGCTAATATAGACAACGTTTGCTGGAGTATCAGATTAAAATTTTAAGAACAAGGTTGGATTTTCAGATGTTGTTTGAATACCTGATAACTGGAAATAAATCTGAATTATTGGATCACTGAAGTATTGGAAACCACTTACTCAAGCTATGCGAAATTCGTATGACTGAAATTTGAGATTCTGGTTGGGCTGGAAATCTTAGCTATCAGTTGAACTTTTGGCGATTTCTCAGTTATCAGATAAAAGAAAATCAATTTCACTGGCCGATCTTTACGCTCTCTGACCATCTATTAAACGAAGAACAATTTAAACACGCCGTGTTACAACGAAAACCCAGGGTAGGGATTCCATCCAAACCGTTTGAATGCTCTAGGTTTCAATGATATCAATATTAATTTCTTTTTGGTCACAGGTTAAAAAGCTAACATAAAATGCTTTCATATTGGTAAGAGTCAAATCCAAATCTTGAAAGGACGGTCCACTCGAGGAAGAGAGAGGACCCTTAGAACGAAGTTGACCCACCTTGTCCCAATAGCGTTTTAACAGGCAGCCATGTTGGTGTCCCAAATCAATGAAACGGCGGCCATGTTGGTGTACCAAACCAATCCTGTTTCTCATTTAAAGACTTTTATTCGAAATTACTTGCTTGGTTGCTGGCTGGACACAAAGTGGAAACGCTCAATAAGTTGCAAGAAGTCGGATAATAAAACAGGATGGCCAAACGTGTGCAACAGGTTTGCACAACAATCCGGTTGCAAGAAGTTGTGTTCAGTTGTAGCGTGTATCCTCCTTCCTTCCTCTGCCTTTTCCTTTTCAGTTTGCTAGTTCCCCACAGTTGGGGAGCCTAGAATAGGCTTTCATGATATAACAACCACACAAGACAAAAAGGTAGATTTTAATTCTTTAACAGTCGTAAAAATATACCTATTTATTACGCGACTGACAAGACAGCGAAGAGAGCCAATAACTAAAATCAACCAATCGGAACGCTATATTAATGATAAGGACGTGTAACAAGTCTGATATTATCCATGTTTGCAACGGAACTCGCTAGAAAAAGATCGGTCTTACCTTTTTTATTGTCTGTATGAGGACCTCGTTGTTATCAATCCGTTCTGTCAAAACCTAATAAAACCAATAATCTCCCAGTATAGCCGCGAGCCTTGTTGATATTAATCAATAATAGGGGACTCAAAATTTGAGTGCGAGTACGAGATCGAGTATGAGAACGACTTTTCAATTCTAGTTTGCAGGCTTCATATCATCAAATCACATGCCCATCTTATCCCATGAGCTACCCTCTCTGCCTAAAACCAGCATGAAGAACTAAGGCTCTGGAAACGTCACGGATTTGAAAATCGAAAATCGAAAATCGTACTCGTGCTCAATCTCCTACTCGTAGTTCAATCTAAAGCTCCCGAATTTGTTACCTCCGTACCTCAATAAGTTAAAGTTACATAGATAGTTTTGCCTCCAGACCTTTTGAGAGTTTTTAAGTTTTCTTTCATATCAAAATGTGGTCTTCTGCGTATTATGAGATTTTTATTTTCTATTGAAATCATCCTGTACCAGATTTAAATTACTATTTAATGGCTTTTTTTTTATAAACGTCAATTCTTTTTTTAATTATCAATTATAAATTTTCGCTTAATATATCATAGTCTTTTTATGTAATACATTAGAGCCCCCTTTTTTACATTTATCATTTTACAATATATAATTCAGAGTGTTACGGCCGTGTTCATTTGCGTGTTTCACTAATTCTTGTATTTATATCATTATTGCTATTTCATGGCTACATTTAATTTTCGTCGCTTTGTTAGTAACACGTCTTCCCACGATTACCACCAGCCACCCTCGCCAACAACGTAATAACACCACTGCGATCATCTCCAACACCCAAAAGACCCCGCCACCACCATCACCACCACCACTACCTCCAGCAAAACCAACACAACCCACACCACACCAAAAAGACACTGCGGCCGCCGCCACCACTACCTCCATCGCAACCAACACCACCCACCACCACACCAAAAAGACACTGTGGCCGCCGCCACCACTACCTCCACCGCAACCAACGCCACCCACCACCACTACACCAAACAAACACTGCAGCAGCCGCCACCACTGCCTCCACCACCAACAACGCCACCCACCACCACCACACCAAGAAGACACAGACATTGCGGCTGCCGCCACCACTACCTCGATCAGAACCAACACCATCCACCATCACCACACCAAAAAGACACTGCGGCCGCCGCCACCACTACCTCCTCCAAAACCACCACACCAACAAGACACTGCAGCCGCCGCCACCACTACCTCCACCACAACCAACACCACCCACCACCACACCAAACACACTGTAGCCGCCGCCACTCACTTCCACCACAACTACAACCAGCACTACCCATCTCCACCACCAACAACAACATAACCCGCTACCTAACGTCAACACAACAACCCTACATTAACACCACCACCACTACCACATCACCCACATAACATACATTTTTCATCAGTGTTATGATTAGATTTTACGGCTTTATTTAATCGAATCCTGAATGTTTTCAAATGAGTAAATTCTTCAAGCTTTCTCAAAAACGATTTATGTTCACTTACTACGCGACTTGATCTTGTTAAAACTCTTGGAATGCTAGCTCATCCTTATTTACACGGTGAAAATTGAATTATTTTGTAGTTATTAACTACTTATTAGCCGAGATTGAGGTCATTACGGGAAAATCTCAAAGCGAGACCTTGCAAAGACTGAACGTTCGAGGTTAATAAGTTGTTTATTAGATGGCTTTTTGCTTTGGTTCTGCAGACCCATAATCAGCCCGTGGTCATTACGAAAGAATAATCCCCGAGAATTGGCCAATCAGAGAGCGCGTTATATCGGTTAAGTAATAATGATATCGCAAATGTTTATATCGTTTGAGCGAATTCTCCGAAACCGCTTAAGTAAGATTTTTCTTGACAGTCAAGTGCGACAAAATCTAACGGCTAGTGACTACGATTAGATCCGCACAGAATGGGCTAAGTGCGACTTAGCGAGTCCTAGCCAAGAGAAACCACTCTCGACAGTTCATTCTCAATAAATAGGCCAATTTCGATGTGAACAAATTAAATAAATTAATTATTCATCCCTCATCCTCGATGTGATTTCTTTTGTTTTATTCCCCTAACGGGCTGGGGGCCAAATTAGAAGTTTAGTATATATCGAAGTTGGCCCGTTACCTTATTGCACCTAGAGGGGCAGCGAATGGTCTAGGCCAGAACGAAACCCTGTCCTCACTCTTGACTAGATGATCAACAGATCATTTCTCCCTTCCACAACTCAATAAATCGTCACAAGATGAGTAAAAATCTTGAATATACGATATTACCTTGATGAACCTAACAGTTTTCAGAACATGCCTTAAACCATTCACCATCCCTTGTTCTACATGTAATATTCATACACTGAGCTTTCTTATTCCTGCCGTACTAGTGTCCCCAAAGTATATAAATGTTTCTGTTAGAATGTTATAAATGTTTCTGTTAGAATGCTATCAGATCTACATTGACCCTGCTAAAGAGACCTTTGTGCAGATATAGAAAAACTGGTCGAAGAAGCTGATATAATTGCATTTGTCTGAAGGACGTAATCACTATGTAAACTCCATGGGTCCATGGCAGATCTGAGTTTCTGTGGCTGCTGCTCTCTAGAGCCATTACGTCAACTGTCTGACTAGACGCAGGTCAAGTAACTGCACGCAGCGAGCATCGATGCCTTGGCGGTCCGCTCCATCGGCTGAAAATAAAAGTAAGAGGCATCGAAATAATTCAGAGACACTTAAGAAATACAGTCAGCTACAAACTCCCCTGTCTTTACTGTCTGGTGTCGGTTTTGAGAAGGTTTACCTGGCAGCAGAGTGAGCAGGAACATTCAGCAGGGCTATCTGGATGCAGGGAAAACGACCGTCAGAGTCGGAAGTCTACAGGGTGTACCACTAGAAAGTTGACCTGTCTCATCACCAATCTGTATTATGCCAGTCTGGGTGGGGGACATCTGAAATGATGCGCATTTGAGACTACACATTGACGGGTGTTCAGATGAAGGTGCAAACAGCGATCGGCTTATCCAGTTGTAAAGTTATGTGGACTTTGGATTAGACCAGTAGCTGGAATAATGCTGATTACATACCAAGCTGAAAAATATAAAGTGTACTACCCAACTACTCAAGACAGGACGCATCTTGACGGGGCACGCGACATATATAGCCAAGACGCTGGATAGAAATATAGCTGGCCACAATCCTGGCCAAACGTCCTTGGGATACTTGACAAAATGCCAACTGGTGACGCATTATTTTCAAGAACATGCAGCCTGTTTATAGCACACTCATAGATGAAGATTGCGAAAATAGCTTAAATCTGTTTTTTTTTTCTTTGAAATGTATTCATTGTTTGGAGAACTTCAATATCGTTAGCTTAATTTCTGTTGATGATTATGCATATCATTAAGATGCAATCAGGTTATAAAACAACAGTTTCCCATGCAAATCTTAATCTGTCCGTACTGATATCAAAGAGCGTTCTAGAAACTTTATTCAAAAGCTGCAAAGAGCCCACAAAATCGCCAGCCTCCAGTTACAACTGAATGGGTCTAATTAAAACCCAACAAAAACTCTGTATCAGCGTTACAGTTCGCGCCTCTTTTAAAAGAAGTTGCTCCATGAAGCTGCCTGGATTCGCTTAACTGGAACGGCTTGAACTGGCTATACTGGATCAGGTACCTCTCCAGATACGCTGTACTGGATTGGTTTGGACTGGCAAGACTAAATCGGACTGCACGAGCTGGACTGGATTAGCCTGGACTGGATCAGCTATACTGGATTTAGTTAAATTGGCTGGACTGATGAGTTCTCTCTTTCAAATTTGTCAAAAAGAAAAGCAATACTAATCGAAGGTGGAAAATTAAGAAAGGTGACAAAGCAGTGTTGCCTCATTCTCGTACTTTTCTTTTAATGCTACTTTTAAATATTTGGTTGACCATGAAGACAAAATGTATTCCCAAATTTACCTCTTTTCAAATCTTTCCGATGCCCATATGGGAGATTGCGTTTGTAGCTGTGATTTGATCTTTCTATTTCCTCTGATCAGCCTGTTCTGTGCAGAATTTGGCAGCATATTAGCAGAATATCCTTTAGTTCCTTTTTAATCTCTTTAGTCTTCTTACCTGTTTAGTTAAGGTGTGCTATGAACCTTTATCCAACCTGTATAGTTCAGTAAGCAACGAAAACTCCCGATAGTATATTCACAAATCGAGCATCACTGGAGGAAGATCCATCCTTCATACCTCAGACCTGTGACCTGGCAATCGTTTTCTGCGTTCTGGATTTAGGCAGCATTAAAAGAAGGAAAAACCTGTATAGACTTGATTTCGAGACGTCTGAGTGAATTATCAATAATCAAGACATGTCTCCCACTCAAGTCACTCACTTTCACATACCTCGATGTTTTAAGCTCAATATGTTGGTCAGTCTTCCAGGCCAGTTTTCTAGCACTGTTTTGTTACTTTATTTTTAATTTTAGCGACATCATAACCTTACAGGCGGTTATAGAGATACTTCGAAGAAAAAAGACGATGAGCTAATTAAAACTGCCAAAGATTTGAAGCTTAAAAAGCATCGAAGCGAGCTCAGCTTGCTAACACTACAAGGTTCTACAAAGCAATACCTACCAACTTACCTTAAGCGTAACAAGAACATCATCCAAAAACATGGCGATGGACTGACTGCTGGATAGCTTCCAGATGGTCGCACTTCGTGTTTCTACCTATACTTCTAACGAAAATATAAAACACAATTGCAAGATAAGCGAGTGTAAATAGATGCGACAACGGTATGAACGTACCTCAGATTTTATAATTAACGTCGCGGGCCTGTTTTGTTTCACTCTGGAACAGTTTAACAGCTTTTATTATTGCACTGTTTAAAGAAAACATTTTATCATAAGATGGTTTACAATGATTTACAAAACTGCTTGTTATGGTAACCTTAAACATCTTCTCATTGTCTTCACCTGTTCTTGAGCTAAAGCAACTCAAACGAAGAACTATTTTGTTAAACTCGTTTATACCGACGCCAACTTATTTAACACCGATCGACAAAACCGCGAGTGGAGAAAATCGTTCAAGTCATCCCCGGACGACTTCTCACTTCTTGTTTGGACGTTGTTAGATACTTTAAAAAGGTTGACGCCACATTCTGAGAGTTCGAAAATCTTCGGATGCAATTCAACGTAAGTACTACGTCCCCGAAAATGGACGCACGGTATAAATTTCTCAACCGTTAACTATTTTGCGAATTGAGAGAATCTTAAGGCACAGAGAAGGATCGAGTTAACATGATCTAATCATTTGGTATTGTGAAAATCCCTGAAAATAAAATAATTTAAAATTGCATTAGGTTAATTACAGTATTTAAAATCAAATGACACAAAATATGACAAAACAAGCTTTTGCTGATAGCATTTTTTTATTCTCAAATGGAGAGCAACACAAATATTACATACAGTTTCTTAGAGAACATTTCTCGATGAACGCATTAGCAGAGACATTTTTGTTTTGGCAAGCGTCTAAAACGGAAGACAAAACCACACATACGTTTGGCCTAGTTCTCTATTCAGGCAAAAGAAACACGAATAATAAAAACAAAACACCTCGTTTGTTCTAAAATTGATTTTATTCTCATAGTCTGTGTTCTACAATATACTTTACCAATCGCTTCAGCTGCTCCCGCTATTGAGCTTCGAATGAGTTCCCGAGAGCCAAGGACATGATTTAAACGAAGACGTCCCCGAAAATGGAGTGACGAAAGTTAACCTCGCCGCGTAATCCAAAAATCGTTTCGAAGAACAAGTAGGCTAAGACAGGGGAAAAAAAAACTTTGTGATGCAATAAGAGTCCAACCCTGTAAGAAAATGTGTTTGAGTAAGTTAGTTATTAACTCAGACAAATAAAACACGAACTGAGACAGAACATACAGTTTGATCAAAATGAATTTTACTCTCACAGTCTGTGATTTACAACTCAGTGTATCAGTCGCTTCTGCTCCCGAAAATGAGCTTCGAAAGAGTTCCAGAGAGCCAAGGACGTGATTTAAACGAAGGCGTCCCCGTAAATGAACAAACGAAAAGTTTTCAGCCTCAGCGTAATCCTTCGAAGGACAAGTTAGTAGTGTTAGTTATTTAATTTCAGACAAAACAAACACAAATAAAGACAAAACACCCCGTTTATTCAAAAGCGAATTTTATTCTATATAGTCTGTGTTCTACATATAAAATCAGTGTACCAGTCGCTTCTGCTTCCGAAATGAGCTTCGAAAGAGTTCCAGAGAGCCAAGGACTTGATTTAAACGAAGACGTCCCCGAAAATGGACAGGCGAAATT